GTTACCACATGAGTTTCCACGCATTGTTTGCCATGCCTGTCACGTTTTAGGAAGAGTTACTATTTTTAGACTTTTGTAATTTTGTATCCTTTTGTATTTTATACTTAACCCTAATCCTAACCCTAAAACTAACCCTAACCATTACTCTAATGCTAACCCTAATCTTAATCTTAACCCCATGGTTAGGATTAGGGTTATGATTAAGATTAAGTTAGGATTAGAGTAACTGTTAGGGTTAGTTTACCCTAACAGTTACTCTAATCCTAACTTAATCTTAATCATAACCCTAATCCTAACCATTTCCTTAATCCAAATCCTAATTGTATCCCTAAAAGTCTAAAAATAGTAACTGTTCCTAAATCATGACTACGTTGTTTGCAGATTGTTGGCGTCATCAATTCCTTAAGTGTACGTATGGCAAAGTTAAAAGCCGCGTTTCGATTTCAAATCCCCTTGATATAGACAGGAGTGTTGAAACGTTCAGCCATGCATTCAATTCAACTGGGCTTTGTTTTTGTCTACCTAGAAACCAAAGTAGAGGGTGAAAACATGGCTGATACCAAACCCATGTGTATAGGAAAACATAGTTTGTAACTAGCATGAGTACATATTTGGATAATAGACTAAGCATCCCCAATAATACCTTAGATAAAGAGATTAAAATTGAACTCGGGAAATAAATGTGCCGTAATTTTCCGCATTAAATGTCTCAAGATAAAAAGTTTTATATGGTAGAATGGTCATGAATTTTGCTGTAATGTTTTGCCTAAAACACGCATTGTTTTCCATTACAATGACGCCGTAAGTTTCCTAATTTAAATTGCTTTGTTTAATTAGTTGGTTTAAGAAAAAAGTATAAAGGAGTCAGAGCAGAGTTGTTCATAGTTTCCACACCGAACAAAATCACTGACGGTTGTCAGCGGCAAACAAGAGAGCATTGCCAGACAGAACACCTCCATGCCCTGGAGGGAAAAGAAAGATGCCGGTAAAAGGAAACGTTGCATTTAATTTGAAGGGATCTGTACTTATGATTCCAGACAGAAACAAAGCCAAATCAAAGTGGTAAGTTGGACGGATTGTTGATACGATTCGATCGAGGAAAAGATGGAGTATTGCGAGGAGATAAGATGAGTATGACTGCATAAGACTGCGACTGGGTATGTTGTTAACCGGCCATTACAATTGGTCTTTAACCTGGAAATAAAGGTTTGTAAGGGTAACACGCCGTTGGAGAAGAGATCACATAGAAATGAAAAGCTAGATGACAATTGTGGAGATGCTGCACCGAAGAAAAGACCTCCGCGAAAAGCAAAAAGTGCCGCAATTAACGTGATAAAGCGTATCTCGTAAAATTAGAATTAGTTGGAAACAAACATTAAATTTTCTAAACACTTTAATGGGGGGCGTTGGGAGGGGGGCGGAAGGTGTAGTAAAGCGCTCGCAAAAGAAAAACACGAAACATTTGTATCGTGTTTTGGTGTTTTTGAGAACTTTTATTTTATTAAATTAGTTTCAAATAAATTATAAAGCAGTAAAAAGTGTTGTGGTGACCGTGCCCTAGTTGACAAAACTAAAATAATAAATAAAAAATAACTAAAATAGCGCAAAAATGTGATTTAGACAGTGTTTACAGACCGAATTTTTCCACACTCTAATAAACATTGGATATTGTATTTACACCCAACTCTTCTGAACTGTAGTTCCGCTTTAATTAAATATAGAATAACTTGGTTGCTTTATTGCCAACTTGCTGAGATAATCCCGGGCAACGGACAGAGGAGATTGTATATTAAGGTAATGAGAATTTGTACATTAATCATGCAATATATGAAATTGTTGTAATTTTCATTTAATCATTTTCCCATTCAGTTTTCATTAACTATATAGAAACATGCATCTCATTGGCAGGTAATGTCATCCCTTTGGGCATTTAATAAGCCGACCACGATTGCAAATTTAGATCTCACCTGATGAAGACACTAGACTGGAGTGTCGAAACGTTGGGTCTTGATTACAATTCGACAGGCCTTTGTAATAATTTGTTTAAACCAAATTAGCGAGCGAAAACATGATTGATATACTGAACCTGGTTGCAGTGAACGCACAAACTTTAAACACGAAAAATGTTTTCTATTCTCTTATATAGTCCTAAAAATTCGTTCATTAATGTCTTCTAGCTCATTGTGCACAATTTGTATAAATTAACTTCAACAAGAAATTGGGCATGCTTTAGTCGTGTTTCTAAACCATTTCGTGTTATTTCTTAAAATGATAGATTTTATGAAATTTCTTAAAATGATAGATTTTATGAAATATAAGAACGAAAGTAGCTACTTGCTTTAAATCACCTGCATGACAACAATAAATGACGACAGCTGAACAGAACTAAAATATTTATTGAAAAACACTTTTAATTACTCTTCAAATGTAATAAAAAACTCCTGACTTATATCACAAATGATCAAAATGCCCGCATATATAATAACAAAACTGCTTATATTTAACAGTTTGTTTAATTAAAAAATGCAAAAGTAATTAAACCTATTTTTCATTAAATTTTAATTTATATTGAAAGCGTCATGAGGTATGCCTTAGTTATTAAGGTCCATTTATTTTATATTCTGTCGTGCATGTAATGATCCCGATATTAAAAATATGCTCCCATCGTAATTTGAAGGAACTGCTATAATAACCTTAGCTAAGTGATGGATAGCATTTGGAAAGGTTGGCCAGCAGCATATTTCGTTTTTCTACAGATATATTTTGCTGTATTTGCTTCTTCAGATAATGTATCCTGTCCTGCCGCTGTTTTTGAAGTTATTTCAACGGAAGGTACAGTTAATCTAGATTTTTTCTATAACACCCACGTCGACGGTAAAAAAATTTAAAACAAAATATTTTATCCCGCAATCGTACTATGTATAATCGTATGACTCTACTGTAGCTACATGTTAAGCTCCAAATTTATGGCCAAATTTATCATTATTCCGAGACAGATTAGCTCATTGATTTCTGTCTCAAAACGTTAAAAAATCTCGTGGAAGAAAACTCGATTAAAAGATTACTAGACAAACTTGAGTTATTCATTTGAGCTTTATTTCACTACAAATTTGTTTCGTATGACAAGACGAGGCTTGCCACTCTCATCAGGTGAATTTAATTTTTTGAAATAATTTTGTTTATTTTTTATTTATCTTTATTTAAATTTATCTGATGAGTTGGGCAAGCCTTGTCATAATGGTAATTTTTACGAGTACAAATTATTGTTAATGGACGATACTCAAATGCGCTAGACCTAAGAATTATAGATTTAAAATGTCTATGTTAAGTCAACCCGAAAGCACCTTTGTCTAAACAAAGCTAGGAAGACTCTATCACAGACTTTCATCATTTGCTTGCCAATCCTGTAGGCTACTGCACCCAGTATCGTTTATTAATTATTGTCCAAAGCACTATGTTTGACCTATTTCATAACCATAACAATGAAACTGTAGTTAAACATGGGCAGATATCCGAGTGATCTTAATCTGCCTGTATCATTCTTACTTGGATTGCGAGCTGTAAAGACTGATTTAAAAAGTTTTTAAAAAGAATTAATCGTTTCACGTTTATCATTTCTAAACGTTCACCAAAACAGTAATGCCAAGTGTTAGCAAGACCGCCGCGTGTCGAACATTGTCGTTAGCAACGTTGATATGCAGTTATGGTTGCGTATTTTAATAGCTCGCTCTACTCAGTTGCGAGAAGATTATTCCCCTTTTTGTAACGGACCCTCAAACAAAGCTGGGGCAGCGAGGAACGGAATTTGCCACAGATAAAACAGGAGTATAGACCTTGTCCGTTACGACCCAATTGCCCGTACAATCACCGATGTAACCGAATTGGCTGTGGGGGGAGTCATACTTGGTACCAATGTCCACAATCCCGTGAGGAAAATGATCACAACGAAGACCACGCTTCACAATCCGCCCGTAGCTCCGCGAAGACCAACTAAATATAGATCATAACAGTTCTAAGTTAAAGTCTAGTACATATAGTTAAAAGTCTAGTATATATAATGGCAGTAATTCAATACCTTTAGACAATACTATAGTTACGCCAAATCGCATGGACGCGCTTGAAGATGCTCTCTATGGGTGTCCCGCCACATCATCCGTTTTGAAACTCTGTCCAGACTTGCGTTTCGGTGCTCGTCTCGGTTACGAAGGTCTTCGCATGTCCAAATTTTCGAAAAACCTTAACGGTCTGCCATTGACAATCCAACTATTGTTTCAACTAACCTAGCTAAGGAAGTTGCTCTTGGGCACACAGCTGGTCCTTTCACCAATCCCCCATTTGCTAATTTACAGGTTTCGCCGATTGGCATTGTACCTAAAAAGCATTCAGATAAATTTCGAACCATTTCTCACCTCTCGTTTCCAAAAACGGGAGAAAGACGACTTTTCATTGCAGTAAATACAAATCGACGATGTTATCGCGGCTTTAATCCGATTAGGCAGAGGCAATTATCTAGCTAAAATTGACATAGAATCTGATTTTCGTGAATTTCCTGAGTTATTAAGCATCTATTAGAACAAGTCCTATTTTTTGACAAGCGCCGTATATTTTCAATAATCTTTCGGATGAACTTAAATGGATTTTACTCAACAAGTGTTTTATAAGCTATGTTAGGCACATACTAGACGATTTTCTCATCATGGAACCACCGGCCCAAACTGGGCTGCCTTCTCAAGCATGCCAATCTATAGCCTTTCTAGCATGTTGTTAACATTCCGCACGTTAGGTGTTCCTATTTTAGGACATAAATCTGAAGGACCCATGCAGTCTCAGTATAGGATTTCTAGGCATTATCATTTACTCACAAGAGATGCAGGCTCGTATTCCTTCCGACAAATTGAACCGTCTATTGGTTGATTTAAATTCGTGCATAAAAAGTCACCTATACAGTCCAAGAGCTCCAAACACTAATTGGAACATTACATTGTTATCCAGACGTATGTATGGCTGCCACGTATTTTAGAGCTGTGTTAAATATTTTTATTTTTCTGTTATTTTTTGAAAGGTTACGAGTTTTAAATGTTGTAATACATTCTCCTAGTGTTGATGAAGTGTCTACAGTTTATTTACGTTCCGATAAGCGATTTGAGCTCGAATTTGTGAGTACTTGTCTGAAACCGTCAAGGTTGAATCTAGCAAGGTTATTGGGATTTAATCGGACGTCGACTCCGATTACACGTTGGACTAAACATGGTCAAACAGCTTTAGCAATCCCTGGTCATGATCCTCCGATCGAGATTACTATTTTTATGGACATTTCAATCAATCCTGACCCAATTCTTCACAAAATTCCGGTTAGAACAACTGTAAACAGGCGGTTTCGAAATCAGCGTAGGCGTAGCTTCTTCAACAACAGTATTCAAATTAGATCTCGAAATATGAATAATCTTATAAGAATTCCAACATATAAAAACATTCCTTTTCATACGACTGGTGAAATTGGGTCCTTGAAATTTTCCACACTTAATGCAAGATCAATACGGAATAAGACTTTGATTATCAAAGACTTTGTTGTTGACTATGATGTTGATATTGCGGCTATAACTGAAACTTGGCTTCGTGAAAATGGTGATGATCTAATTATCCGTGAAGTATGTCCTACTGGTTATAAACTTGTGCATAAACCGAGAATCTCATGCACCGGTGGGGGTGCAGGTTTTCTATAAAAAGAAAACATCGGCATTGAACATATTACGTATCATAGTGAATTTAGATCTTTTGAATGCCTTGATGTTACATTTGCAAGCTCAAATAATATCCGGACTCTTGTTATTTACCGCCCACCATGATCTACTGTCAATGGTCTGTCTGTTAACCTGTTCTTGGATGAATTCTCAACTCTGCTTGAGGAGGTTGTTATCTCCACTTCTGAGTTTTTAATTCTCGGTGATTTTAATTTCCACATTGATGACAAGAACGACATTCACACGAAACAGTTTATGGTCACAATTGAATCGTTTAACTGTAAACAACTGGTAACTCAGGCAACGCATGTATACGGACATATATTGGATCTGGTTATAGTACGTGATGATCTTGAAGATTCATTTCTTAATAATTTGTGTGTTGTTGATCATGCAATATCTGATCATTCGGTGATCAATTTTTGTCTGAACTTGACCAAACCACCGTGTCGTAAGAAGGTCATTGTTTGCCGTAAAATAAAACGCATCGATTTCAATTCGTTCAATTCTGACATTAATGAATCAAATCTTATGAGTGACACAAGTGATTTGTCTTCTTTGCTCAAGAATTATGAAGACGTTTTAGGCTCTCTCTTGGACAATATGCACCTATGAAGCGACGTACAATTACCATTCGTCCAAGGATACCATGGTATAATGCCAATATCACAGAAGCAAAAAGGCTTCGTCGCCAACTTGAAAGGAAATGGCGCTCGTCTAAATCATTGAGCGATAGAGCAGCTTTTGTAAACCAGTGTAAAGTTGTTAATAACTTGATCTACGAAACCAAGCAATTATACTACAACGACTTGATTGAATTAAATTCTTCCAATTCTAAATTACTATTTAAAATAGTAAATAAGCTGCTACAGAAGAATACTGATCGACAATCTCCGAAAGAACATGATGACAAAAGCCTAGCCAATTCATTTGCTGATTACTTCACCACTAAAATTGAAAAATTCATGATGAAATCGTTTAGCAAAGAATCTTCTTGTTGCACCCATTATTATAGAGAAAAGTCCTACGTCGGTATTTGATACTTTCAGACAAGTGACAGATAGTGATGTGCGGAAGCTACTTAGTAATTCTAAGATGAAGTCCTGCCTAATTGACCCGGCTCCTACTTTGGTATTGAAAGAATGCAATGAATCGTTACTTCCTATTTACACTAGGATAATTAACCTCTCTTTGCAAAGTGCAGTAATGAGAGAACCCTTAAAGATTGCAATGTTAGATAAAAACTTTAGACCAGTTTCGAATCTTAAATTTTTGTCAAAGCTCGTCGAGAGGGCTGTGTGTGTTCAACTCAATGAATATCTTGTCGAAAATGAATTACACGAAGTGTTTCAGTCAGCCTACAAGTCATTTCATAGCACTGAGACATCTCTATTAAGGGTGCAAAATGATATTTTGCAGTCTTTGGACAAGAAGCAATCGGTCATCCTCGTTCTTCTTGATTTGTCTGCTGCATTCGACACCATTGGGCACGAGATTTTATTATCTAGATTGGCTGAACGATTCGGAATCAGTGGAAATGTTCTTGCTTGGTTTAAATCGTACTTGTCATCTCGTAGTCAGTTTGTCAATATCAATGGCACTTATTCTTCCACCCACAATCTCAAATATGGAGTTTCACAAGGTTCTGTCCTCAACCCCATTCTCTATTTGCTTTATACTGCCCCTGTGGCTGATATCATTAGGAGGTATGATCTTGATTATCATATATATGCTGATGATACTCAGCTATATGTGTCCTTTGAGGCGGATAGTGACGTCGACTTGGTGAAGGCTCGTATTGAAAACTGTATAGTTGAAATACGCCGGTGGATGCTCTTTAATGGATTAAAGATCAATGATGATAAAACAATATCAGATCTTATGCACTCGAAGTTTCGGCCTTGTCCTTCGCTCCGCGATTCAATCAAAGTTGGAAATCACTTGATTCCTTTTCCGGGTTCGGCTACCAATCTTGGTGTAATTATGGATGAGACACTCTCCTATAATGATCATGTTAAGAAAGTTTGCAAGTCCTCGTTCTTTCATTTGAGGAATATTTCTAGAATTCGCAAATATTTGACAAAAAAATCAGTGGAGGTCATAATCCATGCCTTGATAACAACGAAGTTAGACTACTGTAATTCACTCATGTACGGCTTGCCTAAACGTCTTCTTTCGAAGCTGCAATCAGTCCAAAATTCGGCTGCTCGGATTGTTACCTTGTCTCGGAAATATGATCATATCACACCACTCTTAATTCAACTACATTGGCTTCCTGTTCACTACCGAATCGTTTTTAAAATTCTTCTATTGATTTATAAGTCAATGAACGGAGCCTGTCCACTCTACTTG